CAGACTGTACTGGGAAGAACTGTCTCAAAGCACAGGTCCCAGAGGCGCCAGGTCTCCAGCTGTCCAGAGTGTACAGCCTGCTCCCAAGGAGGTGCTCTACCTCGACACACCCCATTTTCCTCCCCTGCCACTGCCCCAGCTCTCCACCAGCACCCACAATATTGTCCTGAGAACCTCTCCATTTTAAAATAAATCAATGTGGGGTTTTTAAAAATTATCTCTGCCCAGATATTGCAATAGCAGACTCCCAAAGTGCCAGGACAATAGAGCTGCTTGGTGGTGGTTTCTTTACCCAGCTGCTCCAAGGCACTTGGCATGTCCTGCACCACCTGATGGGAAGGGGATGGGTGATACCAGTGAAAGGCCCTAGAATTTGCTGTTGGTGTTTTGCTTCTTGGGGATGGTGTTGGAGTCTCTGGCCTGGCAGGAGCGCGTCCCTTAGTCATCAAATAGCAGGTTCAAGTCTCACTCACTTTGCACTTGAAGTGGGAAGCTACCTGGAAAGAACCACAGGTGAGCATTTCTCCATGAAAGCTGGCGGCCATCTCCAGCTGCTGAGGTGTGAGCTCCTAGCGGGGAAACCGGGTCCCTCTGGGAATGGCAGTCCCCTCCCAAGCCTGACTTTGGTCAAGTCACTCCACTTTATCACTTCGTGATAAACGAAGTAGGCAGAGTATCCATAAATTAGTTCTTCAACAGTTAGTTCATGTACCCTATTCTGGGCCAGACTCTGAGGACTGAGACACAGCAGGCCACTCATAGCGTTCAGAACCTGAGTGTAACTGTGCAGCCTAAGAATCTAGGCGCACCGAGGGTTCCCAGTTGCTGACCCATGGGGTAATATACACAGGGTAGAGGGAGAGGCGCCGATGCTAGTCCCAAGGCTACAGACCTGGGGCAGATGTTAATGACTTGGTGCTCTCAGTTCTGCCTCCCCACTTGGGAAGACTTAAAAATAGAGTAACTTAGAAGTACATACCATGCACAACGTGGCTGTTGCTAAAGCCGAATGGTAACTGAAGCACAGAGGAGTGCCTGAGCACAGGAAGGAATCCAAGCTGAAAAGCCTGGAACCCCAGCACCATGCTGGGCCTGAGAAGGACAAAGGAGCACACAGAGCCTTCTCATCTCTGAACAGCCTCTGGCCCACATCACTGTTCCTGAGCCAACCTAAATTTATAAACAGAGGGAAGGCTGCTTGCTTATCCACACCACCATCACCACCACTACCTGTACTGCCTGAGGAAACTGCAGTATGTCCAGAGCTCTTGATTCCCTCTTGGGCTAATTTTTTTTTCTTTAATTTTCTATATGGGTTTGATTTTAAAGGCTACAGAGTGATCATCCAAGAGAGGGTGTGTGTGTGAGTGTTTGTGTGTGTGTGTCTGTTCTAAATCAGGATAATAGATTCCTGTGTGTTCCGCCCAGCAACCAAGTGGTTGCTTAGCAACATAATGATCTGTGCACGAGGGAGGATCCAGTGAATCATATCAATGTGATTAACCAAAAGGGAATCAGGCCACCAAGAAGACACAGGGTGAGCCAGCCAGCTAGCCCATCACTGTGCTCCAACTCTCTGGTCATACTCTTCTGTAGCCACGCTGGGCGGGGGACATGCAGCCCCTAAGAATGTGACCAGGTCTAACACGACACCTCAGCAGTCAGCTGCTGGCCTGTCATCTCCTCATACAGACTTGAAGCAAAGTCCCAGTCCCAGTGGAACAGCCTGCCCCTAGGAGTGTTGATTTATCCTTCCTGAGTTGCGGAAGGAAAAACAGCCCTACAACCAAATTGGGAAATTAACAGGAAGCTGGTTGTCTTCCTTTAAGCAGAGGCCAGCACCCTTCCAGTACTCTGTCCTTTTAAAGTATTTGACATTGTCCCAAGCCAAAGATGGCAAAGTTGTGAACTCCCCCTGTTAACTGTGAAAGTAACACCCATGTTGATTTCCAATTGAAGTTCTGGGCTGCTTAGGCATCAGATTGCCCAGCACCTGTGTCAGGAAGGGAGTGGCTCATACAGAGTCCCAGCCACGGTCTGTACCGCTGCTCTCCCTCCGTCCTCAAAGGAAGATGCTTTTCCTCTTCTTAATTAATTCTTCAGTGCCGTCTCAATCATTCCATTTGTCATTTCCATTTGCTCCATGATGGGTGTTTACAGAAGAGGGTCGTGCTGAAGAGAAGTAAGTGCCGCTGCAGAGATGTGCATGGTCTCCTGTGTGCCACTGTCCCTTGCTCCTGCTGCCCATCCGGGTGTCAGGAGCTCCTTCTGCTTCCTGATGGGCACAGCTGGCTGCAGGGCCCTTCCTTCCCCAAAACAGGCCCAGCCACTCATGGCTGGGTACTTTACGTAGTGTGTGGTGGTGGCACTGCCCAGGCCACAGCAGCTGCTGCCCCTTCAGGTATTAACTGGCCTCTGTTTCATGAGCCTGATAAGCAAACAGGTGGCTTTCCAACAGGATGGCAGAGTAGGCCCCCAGCCTCAAAGTCATGGAACAAGGCAGCTTCAAAGAAAGCACATACATAGCAACCCTAACTCCGCCCCATCTTACCTGAACAAATGTGCTCTTGGAAGATGTTTTCCCACCTTAAAAAAGTCCATCCCCCTGGGCATGGTGGCACACACCTGTAATCCCAGCAATTGGGAAGCTGAGACAGGAGGATCGCCTTGAGTTCAAGGCCACCCTGAACTACACGACGAGACCCTCTCTCAAAAAAAAAAAAAATCCATTGTTTTCCCCAAAAGCCCTTGGTGTGATCTGCACCCTAGATCACCTCTGTTCAGAGAGGTTCCCTACTTACAGGTATTTCAACCATCTTGGCTCAGTTGTGCTACAAAGTGGAAACCATGGGCTCCTCAAACAGGTATCACATCTGCCACCATGCAGGGGCAGAGACGGGCTAGCTTGCTGCAGCACCTGCTCGGGCTAGACCTAAGCCAGCTACCACTGTATCTGAGCAGCACCAGAGAGGGACCTTTTAGGTCTCTTAGGTCCCTACCATATCCTCAACCCACCTCCTCTTGAGAACTTAAACCTAGAGTATCAGTGTGCAGTCCCTTACCACCTGCAAGGCTCCCTAGCCTTTACCCGAGCTGCCTCCAGCCTCACTGGGGTTGCCTCCCACCTGCCAGCATGGCCAGCACACTGGTCCAACTGGCTGCCAGGCCTGAAGAGCCGGGGGAAAGGCTCTACACAGGGCTGTGCATAGGGCTCTCAACCTCCAGGAAGCGGCCTGTGGCACTCGTTACCCAGACATCCCTGGCCCAGAGTGTGCACCTGCCGCCCCCTGAACCCTTCCTACAACAGGACTGATGCTCAAGCCCAAAGCACCGTGCCTTTTCAGGTGTGCACCTCCGTCCTGACCCCAGCATGGGCCATACTTGAAGTATATTCCCACCATGACTACTGTCAAGTAGCGAAGTGACACAGAGCTCAGAAGTACCTGGGTGACAATCTTATGGTTTCACCCAAACACAGAGCAGCGCAAGGAAAGGCAGAGACCAGACCCAGGTACAAGGCCCACTCCCCTCCTTCGCTTCTGCTCCACGTAGGCTCTGACATGTTAGCATGTGGCAGGCCCTGAAGAATACCAGGAGCTACACAAGTGGTTTCTATGGCCTAGCACCTTTTTCAGTGTTTGCGGGAGTCTGGTTCACTGCAGATGCTGCCCCACCCCACGATCCAGTCTCTGCAGGTCTGAGATGGACTCGAGAGTCCTCATTTTCCCCCCAATTTCCTAGGCAGCAGAGGGCAGAGCCAGGACTTGAGTTGGCATCTCTCAATCCAGATCCTGAGGGGCCTGTGTAGGGCTCATCTTCCCAGAAGGGGGTGGAGTGAGCACCCACATTCATGCGAGTGAGTGTGGGAGGTGAGAAACACACACGTGCTTTCACCTCTGCAGGACCTGTGGTCACAGGGATGGCAGAACAGCCATGGTTGCGACTTGGGGATAGAGGAACAAGAGCCAGGGTCCAGAGAGATGCTTGTCCTCCCTAGTTGTGACCAGAACACCTGCCAGTGAGGGGCATTTCATAAAAAGACCACCTCCGTGCAGGCAAGTGTGAATAGGACTCCCCAGCACCAGATGTCACCTGTGTTCCACAGAAGCATCCCCACCAGAGCCAGTGGAAGGGACACTTAGGAGACTGAGCCTCTCTTCCAGCTCCAGCAGCCTCACCTGCCTATCCATAGTGAAGGAGGCAGGGCTGAGGCCTGAGATTCCCTTCAGACCTCTGCTCTCAGTGGGGACTGTACATCCTCCTAGTGAGTCTCTGCATGCAAGTACATCACTTCACACTGCAGTGAGGCAGGCCTGTCAACACCAGGCAGGGCTACTTGGGAAGCAGACCCTCCCCTGAGGTTAGCTCAGGACACACTGTGACAAACTAATCCTTGCCCTCTGGGTCTGGGGAGAACTTCCAACCCCGGGTGCTCTTGTAGCAGGTCCAGCCCTGCTCTTGTTTCAAAATCACGGACTTCGGTCCGAGGATATAGCTCAGCGGCACAGCGCCTGCCTGGCAAGCGCAAGGTCATGAGTTCAATTCCTGGTACCAGAAATTCTGGTACCAGAAAGCCAAAAGCCAAGGAGGGCCAGGCAGCTAAGAGCAGCTCAGAGAAGATCCCTCCTCAAGGGTGTGCTTCCTCAACCTGCTGAATAAAGGCACGCCATTTTGAGGGATGGGGGATGTTCCTGAGCACATGCCCCCATGGGCTGGCTGTCCCAACGCCCTCTTTGAGTAAGACACCCCCAGTCTCCACGTCCCACCACAGACAGGCCCTTCCAGCTCCTCCAGCTGGGCTCAGGTGAGTGGCTGGCGTGGTGTGCTGTGGTGTCTCCTGAGGACTCTTCCTCCTGCTCCTCCCACCCCATCCTGGCATGGCAAATCACTTGCTCATTGCCAGTGATCTGCTACTAGATGTTATGGTGTGGCTTGGGCGCCTCCCCCACCCTCCTCAGTGACCTGGCTTGTGATGGTTTTCTCTGTTGTTACCGTTTCAGAAGCCCGGAGGTCATGAGCACCGTCTCAGGTACACGGAGCACGACGGTCACATTCACTGTCCGCCCTGGCACCTCCCAGCCCATCACCCTGCAGAGCCGGCCCCCTGACTATGAAAGTAGGACCTCAGGAACAAGACGTGCCCCAAGCCCTGTGGTCTCACCAACAGAGATGAACAAAGAGATCCTGCCCACCCCTCTGTCTGCTGCCGCTGCGTCTCCTTCTCCCACACTCTCAGATGTCTTTAGCCTTCCAAGCCAGCCCCCTGCTGGGGACCTATTTGGCTTGAACCCAGCAGGTCGCAGCAGGTCGCCATCTCCCTCAATACTCCAACAGCCAATCTCAAATAAGCCTTTTACAACTAAACCTGTCCACCTATGGACTAAACCAGATGTGGCAGATTGGCTGGAAAGTCTGAACTTGGGTGAACACAAAGAGACCTTCATGGACAATGAGATCGATGGCAGTCACTTACCAAACCTTCAGAAGGAAGACCTGATAGATCTGGGGGTGACCCGAGTTGGGCACAGAATGAACATAGAAAGGGCTTTGAAACAGCTCCTAGACAGATAAGGATGGCTGTTCCTTCCCTTTATAGACTTCTTGTTATAAGTAGAGATGGGCTTACGCTGAAATATCTGATGGCCAAGCAGAGTCTGTGAGCACCAACCCCATGCCATGGGTTTGTCTCCAAGTACCCAAAGAATGCTGAGAGCATCCACAGCGTGGCTGAGCCAAGGCCTTGGAACCCCAGCTCTCCACGTGGGTTTCTTGGGTGGCTTCTGTCCAATAGGGAATGGGGAGGGGGATTTTCTAACATGGATTCAGATTCCCAGCCTGCTTCCCAGCGTGCAGGTGATCTTGCTTTGCTGGGCCCAAGTGGCTCCCATCGATTTCACAGGGGATCCTTGCTCTTGTAGGCAGACATCAATGTACTCCAGATACCTCCTGAGACCTTCCTGCTCTGCTTTCTGGGCAGCTCTCACCACGCAGGTCCCAACACAAGCCTTTCCTCCATCCTGTGGCCTCTTGGAGGATGCTCAATGCCCATCTGCTCCTGTCTTTTTCCTGTACTTGCTTGCAGTGAGATGCTCCCAGATGGGCTTATCCAGTGCCCTTCCTGGGCCGGAAAGGTAGAGAATGTTTTTTCCTGGCCGGATCACTTACCCCATCTCCTCCTGTGTTGTGCACTCATGGTTCTTAGCCATGAAGTTCTTGGCAGTGGTAGGCGTTTGAAATGGGATCGTGCCCAGCTTTGCTTAGCTTTCTTTCTTTCTTTCTTTCTGCACATATATTAGCATAATTCCAAGGTGGCCAAACAGATGTCACATGGAGTTAGTCAAAGCACAAGGTCACGATCCCAAGGAGGGGACCCCTGGCCATGGGAACCAGCCATTGTGTAGTTTCCTGGGCCCGGGGCCTCTTCTAAGACAAGAGCAGCTACTGCCAGGAGCATTTGCCCGGGATGGAGAGGGGTCCTCTGCCTCTCAGGATTCTTTTTAATTAAAGGCCTGTTGAGCTCTGCAAAGATCAGAGCAGGTGAGCATCCACTCCGACATAAAGGACAAGAAGATAACGTGGTCATGGTGAGCATGTGCTGCCACAGGTGGGCTGATGTCTTCACCAGGAGTTGGTGGGGCTCTGTGACCTCAGTCTGAACCCAGCTGAGGGTAAGCATCTCTGCCAAGATGGCCCTTTTGCTCACAGATACCAGGGAAGGTGGTACTTAGGGGCTTCTCCCCCTTCTCTCCGGGTGTCTGGGAATCCCACCAGCTTGTCTTAATAGTACAACAGGGTCTTGGAGGACCCCACGGGCAGGAAGTACAGACAGGACCCAGGGTAGAGAACAGAAGGTGGGCTGCAGGACGCAGGTTAACACGGATGAGAACAGAAGCAAGGCAGGGAGCTCTCCTGGACGATGGCCCTGCCTATGGCCCAGCTTCCTGAGCCTGTACCCTTCTTGCCCCCGAGTCCCTCCTTCCAGAAACGATACCTCTGATGTCCAAGGGAGGTCACCAGTTGCACACAGGCTGCAAAACATCAAGTCAGGCTTCCCGCACCTTCTCCCACGTGTGGAGAAAATGCAAATGTCAGGTGTGTGGTTTCATTATGATTTCAGAACTAGCTCAGCCCATCTCTAATTATAAAACACCTTTTTCCTTTTTTTTCTTTATGCTCACGACCATGCGTCTGCTGAGGTCTGAAACAACTCTAGAATGAACACATAAAATTTAGCAATTTAAAATCTTTCTTTACTGCAAGTTTAAATAGGTGTACAGATAGTTTATAAGCACAATATTTTAAGAAAAAAAAGTGGCTGGTCTACTAGGCAGCCTTTGTGCCACTTCAGTGCTAGAAAGTTAAAGAAAAAAAAACTTTTGTGATTTAATGATACTATTTCTGTGGAATAATTATACAAGTATGACCTTTTTAAATCAACCTTATCTGGATGCATCTGAACCAGCAGAGCTGTGTTATATTTTCTATCTTTGCTAGAACTTCTTCATTGAAAGACAATTATTTCTTCAAAAGTCATTACAATTCACAATGCAGCAGTTTCTCCAAAAATAAAACCAAAATACACACCCCACACACGCACATCCTTGATTTGGAAAGCCAGTCTTTGGACCGTGTGGGTTCCAAAACCATTTGCAGGTCAGTCTTTGTATCCGAATGACCCAGTCCAGTGGAATTAATTGAACGTTAAAGTGCTTTACTTCATGTACTTTCTGTTTCCCACGATAAATGAGTATTAAGCTAGAAAAAGGTACCCCAGGTGGCTGTATTTCAGAAAATGTAAGAACAGTGGTTTTGCCATTAATTCGTCTTCCATTTGGTGATTTCTGCAAAATTTCTAAGTATTCCACTTCACAAGGCTCTTTTCCTTTGCCTACAGTTGGCATTACCTCTACACACAGTGCCAGGCAGAATGCTAGACAGGAGACCTGGTGGCTTGGGGTCTACTGACTCAGGCAGCCAGTCAGCGACAGCAGCTACTACCACCCCCCTCTCTTAATGAAACTTTAAGCCACATGCCAGTAACCAGAAGCAAGCTGACCGAAAGCCTCCAGAGCTGACAGAATCCTTACACTGTTTTATCATAGAATAGTAGTCAGATGTATCAGAACCTGCACTGACCAACAAAACACACAGGTGTGGCTGAGTATACTCTGGCTCTACTGGACGGTTTTGCTACAGAAAGCAATAGTCCCTGTTCAAATCACCGCCTACTGTTCTCCCCTCTGGGACATGTCAGGATCAGGCCCTGTCCCAGGACCCTCTTTAATGGTGGAACAAATGTTAAACTGCTCATACAATGACCATGTTAATATTACTCCAGGTTTTAAGATCAACTTTTGTTATATACTGTAATTTAAACAAACTGCAATTACATGCCTAGTTTCTGTAATATTGTGTATACAAAACCAAAATCTCTCAAGATGTAAATTATATATATCTGCCAAGATACCTTCTCCAGGGCGTCTGTGCACATTTTAAGTTAATTCATATAATATAAAATTGACTCAGTGTGACTGTTGATTTGCTGAATTTTACATATCACAAAGTGAATTATTTGTGATACTTTAGTTAATAAAACAGTAACTTTTTTCTGAGTTATTGAACAAACAAACATTATCCAGTTGATCTGGCAATGACTTTTTTGTGTGTGGGCCACATATATTGATTTTTTTCCCATTAGCAATTTGTTTTTGTTTTTTAAATACTAATATGTTTCACACTATAGTTTCTGTAACACATGTTCGCATATCTATGTTGCTGTTACTTTTGTGCTTTTGTTCTTTTTAGACTTTATTAAAAAAACAAGAAAACAAAAAAAGCTCCTGTAATTTGCACTTTCTCCCAATCCTTAAATCTCTTGTATGGCAACCAAAATTACTGTAAAAAAAATAAATATACTCTTGCACTAAGGTTGTGGTTCTGATTGCAAACAGTGAAAACTGTCTGGATGAAACAAACACAAAGTTGCCAAACTGGTGATCTAACATAGGTTCTCTGAAACATCACAGCCAGCTTTACCTCTATAAAACTGACCAGATATAAATATAACTGACCTCTATAAAACTCACTGATGATCTTTCATCAAACGGTGAGAATGCTTTCATGGAGCTCATCGGCCTTGGCCCCATTTCCTTGACGTATTCTCAGTGAGTGGAAATGTGTGTATTATTTCAAAATTGTATAAAATGTCAAACTGGCTTCTGTGACTATTCCTGTGAGCCGGGCACCAAGGCCTGGCTGATCCTTCTGTTTTGTGGTGGGAGTAGGGGTGCCCTGGAGACTGAGCCAGGCCTAGATCTGTCTCCTAGGAGAAGTGCCCATACCCCGGTGAGCTGTCTGCTAGCCATAAGGCCCTGGGAATTGCAGACCTGGGCAGACTCTCTGGTCAACATAACCCAATGTTTTAATAAGCAAGCAACATACTAAAGCCTGGAACAAGAAGGAATTTGTGTCCTTACTGCAAAGAACTGAATCAGGAAGACATGGGTTATTTCTTCTGCTTTAGGGAAGTGGCATTTTCTTTTCCATTTGCAGTACTAGGGAGCGCTGAGCTACATCCCTAGCCCCCTTTTTATTTTGAGACAAGGTCTCGCTAAGTTGCCAGGGCTGGCCTTGAACTTGTGATCCTCCTGCCTCAGCCTCCCAAGTAACTGGGATTACAGGCATGCGCCACCACTCCTAACAAAGGTAGTATATTTTAAACTTAAACACTGAAACCCTTTGGCCTCATCACGAAAGAGTCTCTAGCTCCTGAATGGTTTCTTCTGTTTTGGCACATTCTCCACCTGAACAGCAGCCACTGTGTTCCCATTCATGAAGAAGTCTAATCTTCACATCTTTGTACTCTGCCCTCCCACCACCTTATCATCAAATAGTTCCTCCCAACCTCTACCCACCACCCCCCAACTTCATTTCCAATGGTTTCTTCCAAAACTTTTTCCCGAGTACAGTATTTGTCTTGTTGGAAGAAAAAAAAAAATCATCGGAGGACTTTTTTCTTTTACTTGAACTTTGAGGTATTTTAATAACCAGTGAAGTTGGAATGTGTCTCTGTATCTGTAGATACCATGTACACACAGGAGTAAAATGCCACAGCGGCTGGGTGGCCACACAGTGGCATGCATAAGGGACTGCCCCTGCTTCGGGGGACAGGATAACCTCCAACCTTGGTTCTCAGACTGCCGCAGATCTAACCCCTTCGACTCTTAGCCCACATTGTACCCGTGGCTTTGTTTCCTCATGATCCCTGTAACATGGTTCTACATCTCATGATCTTGATTGTTTTATGTTTAAAATTACAACACTGTTCAGTGCTTCTACTCTGGAACTCTGTTCATGGCAATTCTGGAACTTTACTATGAGCCTTTCAAATAAATACCGAAAAGAAAAAAGAAGAAAAGAAAAAAACAAAGTGTGTGCCTTCGGTGTTTTGAACCTGATCTGCATAAAACCATATTGTACTCAAATGCTGTATATTTAATGAAAGGATACAAGTATCTCCAATGTATTAATGTAGCTGATAAAATAGTTATAGTGCCTTGTTTTCTGAACTGAGAAGCCCATATCAATGCACAAAGTAAAGGAAAAAATGATTCACAAACTGAAATGTTGAGAAGATCTAGACCTGATTCTGGAGCCTTTCTCATCCTGACTGTGGAATATACACAGTCATCCAAGTTAAAAAAAATAAAAAGAACATTGAAACAAGATTGTGTTATCAATTAATTTTCCATTAAAAGTGCTCTCTCCTATTATCACTTTCAGTATGTTCATTTAATTAAAATACAATCAAGTTTGAGAATGTTCACGGAAAAGAAAAACCCTGTCCTGGGCTTTCTGGCCCTCCTCCCTTGTGTTGTTTCGCCCTCTGGTGGTGCCTATTGGTAATGCTTCTCGAGGTCGGCAGTACTGATCATCTGCACCTTTTTGGTTAAAAAAAAAAAAACTTATAATGCTTGTTTTTAGTGAAACAAAGTTGATCACAGAAAAACTATTTCCATTTTTCATACGTTAAGGGAGTGGCAATATATCTGTCTTCCTTTTAAAAGAAAAATGATGTAAGAAGCATATCAGTTTAATTCTTGTTTCCATGCTATCAGGCTGTTTGCTGAATTCATCTCAATGTTCTGCTTCCCTGAGTGGCCTCTGGCATCTTAGATGCGTCTGGGTGCAGTAACCATGTTAGTAGCCGGTACTCTGCCTGTAGGAGCAGACAGTCACCGCAATAGTGAGCTCTGGTGGAACACTTTGGACAGACAGGAGCAGCATCACCCCATCTCCTCAGGGACCCTCAGCAAACAAGCCACCCACACTTCCAGAGGCAGGGCAGTACCACATGCTTGTCCATCAACACATCCTGAGCTGTCCATCCACACAAATCTCAAGGCAGGGAGGAGCTCCTTAGATCTAGAACTCTCCCCTGTGCCTGCTGACTTCACATGACTATCTGCTACATCTTCCACCGGGCCAGAATAAGTTGGAAATCCAGCTGTCATAGTTTCAGGAACACGTGCAGGCAATAATCTAAGAATCTAAAGGGAATGATCAGGGAGAGGAGATACAGCTGCTCTGGGGCTCCATTCCACTCACGAGCAGTGGCTCCCCCTACTCAAAGCAAACAGTCGAAGGGTGAGGTGGTACTACACACAGCCCTGGGCAAGATACCCACAGGAAGATATGACCTGGGAGCTGAGCCCTGGGTCCTGCATGAAGTGAAGATTAGAGATCTAGCCAGGTCACAGAACTTGGACATGACTCAGCAGCCACTAGCTTCTGGTGGCCAGTACTCCTGTCCAGGGCTATCAGAAGGCACCTGCCCTGCCACTGCCCTCCTGTAGTCTTCCCCACCTTGGATGACAGCAAAAACATGCCCTGCCAACCCAAAATTCAAGGAGCAAGAGGAGCGCACAGCATCAAGCAGATATCGACGTATGGACCCCAGAGGTGGACCAGCTGGAAATAGTACCTGGTACTGTCTGTACAAGCACCAAGCAAAAATACTGCACCCAGAAAGCCTGGCAGCCCTACAGGTAGAAATCAAGAGCCTATTTTGCAGATGAGAAAACTAAGTCTTGCCAAGCTCCACAATGAGTAGAGAGCCAGAGTTTGTCTGCAGCCTCCCTGGCTAAGTCCATCTGTGTGGATAAGAAACCACAGGTGACCTGGAAAGTACTGCTTGATTGGAATCTGCCCTTGATGACAAGGACACTCCTCCCTGTCCCTTTCTGGAGTCACCTGTGCAGGGCCAAAGGTGCCGATGGCTAGGAAAGGTAGGGTTCCTCTCAGCTGAATCAGCTAAGGGCTGTGGGAAGGTGAAACAAATTGGAAGCAACCTTGATCTTTCTATTGGGATCAAGAGAACCATATGTAGGGAACCGTGGCTCTCAGAGAGATGACCTGTCATTGGTAAACAGCACCATAAATACACGTGGCATCTACTTTAGTTCTCACAGGGGTCCTAAGAGGTAAGTGTCAACAAGACAATTAACCCCTTCACCAATGAGGAGTCTAAGGCTCAGAGAATCAGAAGCCAGTCCTATTGCCTACAGCTGGAACTGATTTTCCTGAAGACTGAGTCTTCACTACAAGCTTCAGAGAGGCCCTGGGCCAGTTCTCCCTCGGCCTTCCTGTTGAACTCTTCTGTTCACAGCTGTGAATCACTCAGGAACCTCCCAGCAAGGTCCTATGTGGCTAAGGCAACCAGAGCCAGTTTTGGTGCTTAGAGCAACCCAGCATCCAACTTACCACAGCATCGCTCTACCAGGGAGAACTGGGGCAGCCCTTTCCTCCCACATTCTACCACCCCAATGACCAGGGGAAAGGCCAAGCAAATGAAGAGGGAAACAAGAGTCAGAGAACTACAGACCAACCACTTCGAGAAGTCATGTTTTAAAGCCAGAGGCACGGAGCAGCACCAGCCCTTCTTGGCTTTGAAGCCCGCCATCTGAGCAAGCTAAAACTAAATGCTCTATTTTCTTTTTTTAATAAAAACCCAGCATTTATTGGCGTCCAGTAAAAACATAAGAGTAGTCAAAACAATAAGAACAAATGTTTTACAAATGCTCCCAGGGCAAACCACTTAATCTGTTGCCTTTTCTTTTTCATATATTTTAATTGCCATTGTCACCACCTCACTTCACTGCTGTCTTCTTAATTCACTGATCGTTCCTGGTTGGAGACACTTCGTAGCAGAGATCATCCTTTCAGCATGATCCGACCCAACTGTTTTCTTGACTTTGTTTCAGAATGAATTTCTTCTGCATCATCTAATACAAGGTTCATATACTCTTCAAACCCAATAATACAGCTCTCTATCCGCATATTCACTTGCTCATAGAACCATACATGAATGCGGGGTCTATTCTCCAAGTATCTAAAGATGGGGTTGATGGGCTGCACCATCACCTTCTGCACTTTCTGGCCTTGGCCCCTGTACACCATAGCAGAATGTCACAAAGACCACACCAACTACCACCTAAATGCTCTATTTTCAAGCAAGAATGTAGCCGAGCATGGTGGTGTGTGCCTATAATCCCACCACTCAGGAGACTGAGGCAGTAAGATCCCAGCAAGTTCGAGCCCAGTCTGGTTTACATAGTGAGTTCAAGGCCATCCTGAATTACACAGTAAGATCCTATCTCAAAAAAAAAAAAAAAAAAAAAAAAAAGTAATCACGAAGGCCCCAAACAGAGGTACAGGGGCCCAGGGAAATGGCCTACACATGGCTGGATACAGCATGAAATGCAAGAATCACGCGTCACAGCAGCAACAAATGCTGTCCTGCCCAGGCCCACCCCATCCTGAGCCATTTAGCCCCTACCCACCTGTAACTTTAGGCCTTCCCCATTCTGTTACTGTCACACTGCCACCCACGAGCCTCCTCCACGCTGGATCCTCCCAGTACATGCAA